TTTGAAATTCTTTTAGGTAGGATTAGAATAAATTTATCTATGAGACCTTAGGAGTGATCAAATACATCAATCGAAAAGGTTGACCTCCTGAGTCCAAAATTGTAAACAGATCTCAAATCTGATAAGACAAGACGGAGCTATTAGCTAAAAATGCTAATACAATAGTTTAAACACGCTGAATAACATAGAATACTTGAAGATATCCTGACCCAGGCCTGACCTACAATAGTTGATGAAAAACTGTCTACATATGTTGAAAGAAATAGCATTTTATGTTACTACGACCCACAGCGAACCTACAATTTAGATATTGCTGAAGAACATAAAATCCCAAGACATCATATCCCAAACCTTTAGATTAAAAACATAATATCCAATTACATTAGCACGTTTATCCTTAAGATTTATGTTCGTTTGTTTATGTGTTTATTTAAATTACATATATGCACAGAAAGACCTAAACGGCCAGATCAGAAACCCCTATGGTTCAGGAACATGGTCCCTAACTTTTAAATGTAAACCAGAGGAAAGGCAACCATGCGGAAGCACCTGCCGTCTGAAGTAGCGAGACTTAACGGGATGGTAAAAATGACCGTCAGTCTGTTAATGCGCCCACAACTGAAGCGTTTGGTAGCACCACATCTCGAACCACAACCCTTGGATATCCAGTCACACACCTTTCGAACCACAATCCTGGGATACCCAGTCACACACCTTTCGAAACACAACCCTGGGATACCCAGTCACACACCTTTCGGACCACAACCCTGGGATACCCAGTCACACACACCTTTCGAACCACAACCCTGGGATACCCAGTCACATACCTTTCGAACCACAACCCTGGGATACCCAGTCACATACCTTTCGAACCACAATCCTGGGATACCCAGTCACACACCTTAACCGCAATTAGACCTAAACACAATCCTTGGATACCCAGTCACACACCTTTCGAAACACAACCCTGGGATACCCAGTCACACACCTTTCGAACCACAATCCTGGGATACCCAGTCACACACCTTTCGAACCACAAAAGGTGTGACTGGGTATCCCAGGGTTGTGGTTCGAAAGGTGTGTGACTGGGTATCCCAGGGTTTAACCACAATTAGACCTTCACTATCACTAAAGACGAAGGTATCGAAGCGTATAATTCTTTTCATAAAAAAAAAGAAATATGATGAAATACTTGATATATCTCCCAACTCCAAGCTGGATTGATGAAATACTTGATATAACTCCCAACTCCAAGCTGGATCGATGAAATATGTGCCCAAGATCTTTTGAAAACATTTTATTTGGTGCATGTAGCTCGTCTGATAAATGTTAACACTCAGATCTTAGACTGCCCACGTATAAGGCCTATGAAGCATGTTCCATTTTATTGAATAATTATTATGAAACGAAATATGTTTCACTCTCCAGCCCCAGTGTGAAAGGGAAGGGGAGTGTGAATAGGCTTTTTCTGTTTGCACACTACCACACCTCATTAGGCTTATCACATCCGCTAATCATAAAATGTTTAAAATATATTCCACCCTTATTAATTAACATTACATTTATTAGCCATAGAAGAGATTACGCTTAATGTGTCAAAAATGAATTGTATAGGTGGGGCTAACAGCGCTTTAATAAAAACGATTTGCTTATGCTAATACAGTGGCGTGTCGTCGCTAAGGGAAATATGTTCAGAACCTACATGTTTGGTTCATAGCAAATATGGGACCTAACGACAGTGCAATGCCGCCAAGTTAACTTTTGACTGTAGAATTGTGCCACAGCCTTTTTGGAGGAGAGATATTCGTGAAAGTAAATAACAAAGAAAAGTAGAGCACACAAGGTTCCCATAATATAGTGAATGATATCGGCAAAGCATGATCAGTAGATAACCCTCCAAGAGGGTGCAGGTAATACAAAAAAATAAGTTTTCTTGTTGGGCTTTATGGTTGTCACAGATTTCTCACGTGAAGAAAAATGTAGATTTCACAAAGAGCAAAGTAAAGACAAGTTATGTTACTATAAGGAAAAATTATTAACAAGAACTATTCAAGATTAAATTCCTATACTGTATGGCCAGGACACTAAGAAGGGGTGATATTTTCAGAAAAACAGATTTCCTCAAAGGTATCAGATAGGCAAACCCACAAATAACAGTAGATTCGATCAAGAAGTAAGGAGTTGATAACTGATCTGAATTTTAAGTTGATAAATAAATAAATCGGACACATCTGAAGGACAGTGCAAAAAATATTTCCTTAGGAACAACAGCAACAACAATAATAACAACAGTGTGCGTACCTGCGCAGACAACTGGGTGATCGCCTCTACCAGTGGATAGCTCGCCAGTTTTCCACCTCTCAAAATGATTCTTTGCCATACTAATAACAATGAAAACCAAGTCTTTCTTTGTCCAGTCCGAAGCGTCACCTCGTGACTCTTGTTCTCTCGCAGCATTAGCAGGCTGTTACATCTAGCCAACTTCATACTTGACCTGAATAGGATATTCTAGTTCCACTCCTTTTAACCTGGATGCTATGTACTACTGCAGTACCCAGTCGAACAGAGTAAACATTTTCTACTACAGAGAAAAAAGAAACAAAACAAGTAGAACAAGGTATTTTAACGACTTTCTGGACCGTAAATGTCTAAAATTTCTATATTATTAAAGCAGGTAGAGAACAAATGATATGCCTACGTATCACAAAGGTAAAGATAAAGCATCAGAACTTGTAAGTCCATAGGAAAGTTTCAACGATCCTTGAAGAACGAAACGGTGTTCATGACCCCCCACTTCAACATATCCTTGGACCTCTGTGCTTTTGATATGCTTGAATGTTGTCTTGGAAGCCAAAATCCATCGTTTTTCGCAGAAGTTTGTTACAGTGTGGTGTTGCATAGTAGTGTATAATCAAGGTCATTAATATGAGCACGATGAAATAAATAGTTCCATGGACAGTACAGGGCATTAATTTGTCTTTTTTTTTTTTTTTCTCTCGCAAAATTGTGTTACATTTCAGTGTTGTACAAGAGTATATAGCCATGGTCATCAGGTTGAGCATAATAAAAGTAATAGTTTCAAGAATGGCATAAGGCCTGAAACGTATTTCTTATAAAGTGGTAAATACCATTTCATCTTAGGACGGCTAGCGTAGATAGCCCTCGTGTAGCTTTGCGCGAAATTCAAAAACAAAACAAAAACAAACAATACAAATTAAAATAGGTATATATCAAAGTACTCGGAGTTGAAGAGATTTGATGAAGTGATCAGCAGATTGGCTAGTATGAAAGTATGGCGTGCCATTTTGTGGCACTTCCAAATTCTAAAATATTCGGAGCTGAACAGAGTTTATGACATGATTAGCATAAAAGTACGTTGTGTCATACTGTAGGCACATCCAAAGTACTCGGAGCTGAACAGATTTGATGAAGTGATTAGCAGATGGACCAGAAGGAAATATGACGTGCCATATTGTAGCACTTCCAAGTACTAGCATATG